GTCGATAAGAAGAAAAAAGGTTTTAAAGATAACAAACCCTTGAAATTTTTTTTTTTTTTTTTTTTTTTTTTTCAAAATTTTGAATGTATTTTATTAGAATTTCATTTAGTTGTTGTTTGTTGGATTTCATTCAGGGGTAATTGGAGTAAAAATGTGCAGGAATACAAATGCACACCACATTTTCCAGATTTTATTTCCAGTTGTTTTCATCAGACTAATCTGTATGAGCTCTGCGTAGGAGCCTGTGTGCGCTTTTCTTTTCTTTAGTCAAGGTCATAAATTACCGACCAGAAAACGCTAAAGTCGTTCTGCCGTTTAGTTTCATGGTTCTCCCGTCTATCAGACGTGTCGGGAACAGAGGGAGGCGACAGATGTCGAGATCGATCAGGCAGCTTCTTAGTCGGTGCTGCCTAATTGTTCTGCAGCGGTGGCAGGAACGCAATGTTCTGGCTCGGAGGGAGAGCTGTGTGTGTGTGTGTGTTTTCGCCAGGGCCCCAGTGCTCTGGCTTTGTACATCTGCCAGGATGTGGCGCTCCCCTCCCGCAGTGGGACGGTGACTTGTGCAGAGCGGTGACCCCGGTCCTCACCGGCAGCTTCACAAACACAGCCGGCTTCACTTCCAGACCGTCTCACAGCATCGCTCTGCAGATCTGTGGAGGGGCAGCTGGTCCAAGAACGGTTCTGTTTGTTTGAGGACGGTTTCACTTTGTCTAGAGAAGTTTGTAAATCGGTTGTTAAACACGTGTTCAGGGTTGCTGGATATCTTTAAAAACTCTGTGAGAAATTATTTCCACTTTGTCTGATTGTATGAGTTTTTAAAAGCTAGTGCTGAGACGGTTGTTTTCTTGGATAAAATTTACAGAACCGTTTGAAGAACTGATGATAAGAAAGGAGGAACTTGTAAAGAATGTGATATTTCCTAGAAGTTATTCCTCCTTCTTTGTTTCTTTCCTTCTGTATTTCCTTCCATTTTTCCTTAGCAGTCTGTACTGATTAAACTGTAATAAACTTATGGGGTAACTTTTGTATTTATCTTTTATAGATGATTATAAAGTAAATTTTTACATCTGGGAATGTCAATTTGGAAAAAAACTGGAAATCTGTAATGAAAAGATGTTTATGTCTGTAAATAAATGGGTAAATCTCATCTGTGCGATGCAGTAATGTAAAGTGTTCAGCAGCTGTAAGCTCCTTTTTTTACTCTTTGAATCAAAAATGTTCTACTAGAATATCATCAAACTGAAGAGAATATGTGGCTTAATGTTCTCTCTCTATTGACAGAATCAACAATAAATGCGTGTTTGTAAGTTTTAGCATAATCCCTTTTTTTGCCCCTCCCCCCCAAACCGTAGCAGTGAGAACAGGTTGCTGACCTTTGACCCCTGTTCTTCCAGACGGGCTCCCTGCAGGTCCTGTCCCAGCAGATGCTGGTGGACTGCTCCTGGGGCTTCGGCAACAACGGCTGCGATGGCGGGGAGGAGTGGCGGGCGTACGAGTGGATCATGAAACACGGAGGCATCGCCACCACGGAAACCTACGGCGCCTACATGGGAATGGTGAGACGAACTTCATCACAACTCTGAGGTTTTTAACAGCTGCGGAGGTGTTTCATATCGCCGAAAAACCTCAAACACATTCAGAGGCGTTATAAGAAAAAAAAAAAAACCTGATGACTCATTTTCCACTCTGAGGTCAGCCATATTTTCTTTTCTTCTTCCAAAGTTAGCTTCATTTTTTTCTTTCCCTTCCTGAACAGAACGGATTCTGCCATCTGAACTCGTCGCAGCTCACCGCTCACGTCAAAAGCTACACCAACGTCACGTCGGGCGACGCAGACGCCCTCAAGGTGGCCCTCTTTAAGAATGGCCCGACCGCCGTCAGCATCGACGCCTCGCACCGATCGTTCGTCTTCTACAGCCACGGCGTTTACTACGAACCGGCTTGTGGTGAGCTTTACGTCTCTCCGGACGCTCCGGACGTCTCTGTTCCCGTCTGCAAGCTAACGTTCCACTCCGTTGTCGATTCAGGGAACACCCCAGACGACTTGGACCACGCCGTGCTCGCGGTGGGATACGGCACGTTGAACGGGGAGCCGTACTGGCTGGTTAAGAACTCTTGGTCCACGTACTGGGGCAACGACGGCTACATCCTGATGTCTACGAAGGACAACAACTGCGGAGTCACTACAGACGCTACATACGTCACTCTGGCCTAGATACTTCCTGTTTGTTGTTGATGTTTACGCTGTTGTCAGTGCCTGGGTCTGAATGACACTTTATGTTTGGTGTGAGAGTCTAAGCAGCCTGAAAGTATTCAGGGGCGCACCGATCCACTTTTTTTCATTTCCAATCACAATATCTGAGGTTTAGTATCGTCAGATACAGTAAAACAGTGCTGAATTAACGTAAAACTTAAAAAAAAAAAAAAAAAAAAAAACACAGACTGAATTACAAATTTATTAGATGACTTTGCACCAGTACAGCACACTTAAAGCCACCAATAGCTTTACAAATCTTTTTTTGTTCAGTCAGTGTAATTCGGAGTATAGCAGGCAATGTAAACTGACAGACAACAGGTTGCTGTCTTGGTCAAACATCCATCCATCCATCCATTCATTTCCTGTACACCCTTGTCCCTAGTGGAGTCCGGAGGGGTGCTGGTGCCTATCTCCAGCTATTGTTCCGGGCGAGAGGCGAGGTCACCCTGGACAGTCTGTCGCAGGGCAACACAGAGTCAAACAGGACAAACAACCGTGCACACACACACTCACACCTAGGGAGGATTTAGCGAGACCAATTAACCTGACAGTCACCTCACAGAACCTTCTTGCTGCAAGGCAACAACAGCTCTACCAACTGCACCACTGTGCAGCATCGATTCATGATCTAGAATTTTATTTCAATATCAGAACCAATACAGATAATAATATCGGATCGGTGCATTTCTAAAAATACTGTTTTGCAAAAGTTGCACAAATAATATGTCGTCTTTCTTCTTGTTTGTTTCAAACAAGTTTATTGCTGGAGGCACCAAGGCAGTACGCCTTCATTTCAGTTATACAAAATACATTTCATGACACATTTCCACTTGATCGTTGCACATTTAACAAAATCGTGACAATAAAAACGCTGAAACTTCCCCGCTTGCAGTGACATCTCTGCTTCATCTCGGGCTCTAAGGCGTTCTTTCTTCACTTCATTCAGCTGAATGTCAAAACTTTCCACATTCACTAGGCCTGCAGACTTATTCCCACAAACATTTGGTAAAATCACAAGCTTGAAAATACTGAAAATAGATTTCATGAAATAGAGCAGCGTTCTGCAACCTTTGCAACCCAAAGAGCCGTTCTTACCTGCAGGTCACCTAAATAAAACGTGTTTAGAGCCATAGATGTTACACAACCTTTTGCTAAAAAAGGAAACTTATCATTTCTGAGACATATCCGCCTTATAACCTCAATTTAACTTCAGTTTTTAAGTTTTGAAATAAAGAAAATCAAAAATCTTCAATAAAAACAAAATGGATTAACTTTCCTCTATGAGATGTTATTTGTGGAAAATATTTTGGATATTAATCTACAAAAAATATACATTCAAATGTCATTCTTTTGTGGAAATTCAATGTAATTATTCCATGAGATGAGGAAAATAGCTAAAACCTTCATGTGTTATAGCTATTAGACATATGCATTTTTGATTTATCATAACTACAAATTCCCATTAATTATATCTGAAAACTCTGAAAACTTCCCATCTTTTCAGAATATTTATTTATACTATTTTCTCTACTGACCAGGCCCATTACCTCATCAATAAATATGAAAACATTACCACATTACAGATTAATATTTTCATATTTATTGATGCTGTGATGGACCCGGTCAGCAGAGAAAATAGTTGCCTATATAAATTACAAAAAGAAGTTGTAAAAACTTTTATTTTCACTGCCATTGGTATTGCTATAAGCGCCTCAAAATATTATGATGACATTCAAAGGAATATTGCTCCAGCCTAATGTTTATATTCACAAGGGTTATGTGGTTCTTTATCATTTTATCCAAAGTTATTGTGGGAGTTTCTAGAGGAGCCGCAGGTTGCAGACCCCTGAAACAAACCAACTTGCTTTCACTTCATAATTATCTACTTTGTGTTGGTCTATCGCAGAAAATCCCAATAACATCCACTAAGATTTGTGGTCATGTTTTAAGAAAATATGAACAATATCAAGATATATGCAAGAATCTGTATAAACTTTTTTTTTAAGCTGTAGACAATGATTGTTTTAAAAACATTCTTTTGCAGCAGAAATCTGCTCTAAACATTTTTTTCAACCATTTCATCTATAAATGCAACTACAGCCCTTAAACCTACTTGTAACTGTTATCAATAGATCATACAACGCATCAGAGTATAGATTGATTCACACGTGATTACATTTCACTCATCTAAAACAGCACGTCTACAAAAAATACTAAAGTCGAGCACCTTGATTCATGCTGATCTGTTACATCCCATGATTTCAATACAAAACTAAGTATAAACGTCATACAAAGGCTACACAGCGCATGATAAAAGGAACTAGTGCATGCAAACTAATCTCGGCTGCAGCTACTTGGAAAAACAGCAATCATGCTTCACATTACAACTCAAGAGACATGATGCACTTTGGAAAAAGTGTTTTGTATGACATGTGAAAATGCTTAAGAACCCTGTCCAAGATTTACAGTCATTTCAGTTCAGTGAAGTTTAAATGCATCAGACTTAAACAAACTAAAGGCCTTAAAGATGGGAAGATGGAAACTCATATGAACGACATATGGTAAAGACAGATGGAATCAATGCGTAGCAAAACGAAAGCAGACTTGAAGGGTTTAGAGGTGCAGTCATCATCTGCAGGACCCAACGCCTTTATAGTTGGTGTACTGCTCTAAGCATGAGAGTGTGTGGAATATTCCAATGTTAAAAGCAGAGATATGCGATATATCGGCATTAACAAAAGTATCGGCTGATGACGGTCACTTTTTATCGTATTGTTTCCATAAGTAAAACTATGGCGATGTTAACAACTAATGCTCATTTCCGTTATATTGCTTCTTATGTTTTATTATCGGCAGGTTAGGATTGTGGGGAGTTTAGCTGAAGCGGAGAAGCAACGTTAACATGATGGTCATTTTATAATATCAAAAAGGTAGAGAAATATATATAATATCGGTAAATATCATTTATCGGCCAGAACAACTATATTAATATTGGACGGTGCATCCTGAGTGAAAAGTCGTCCGTAAAATGACTTTCTGAACAATCAATCATTCTACGGCAACAAAGATGGAACAATTTAACGTAGCTGCAGCTCTTCCAAGAAATGCCTGTCTGAGGTCAGGCATGACACCATTTAAAACCTCCATAGCTAACAACCCTAACACCTATATTTCTTTACCCAAGCGTTGCCATTTTGTGCCAGTATGCTAAAAATCACTGCGTATTAGTTTATTTCACTTATTCATTTAGTAATTTGATGAATAATTCAGGTAATTACAAAATGTTCAAATAGTTTTAGGGACAGTTTATCATAAGGTAGAGTATGATCCCCTGATCAAACCAAAATAAAAGTTGACCTGCTGAAATGTATTATTTTTAAGATTCATAGATGTCAATTCAGTTCAAAAATACTTTATTGATTCCAAAGGGACACCTGGTGGGTATGGATGATATATTAAGCCCCTTCATGCTCCTTTTTGTACACGTAACAGTCGACACGGGTACAAAATGCCACACCTATAAATTTGCAGAGTTGCATCGATAAAGACGCAGGATGTCTGGAACAGTCTAATTTGAACATAAAAGAGTAAACTAGTTACTGAAACTGTGTCACGCAACACGATAACAATCGAAAGCGATGCACCAAACCTGGACATGTTGACAAAATGAATGTCTGTGATCTTCGGTGAACTGAAGCAAATTGATCCGTTGAAGAAAATAAATCTTCGTAGAGCCAGAAATGCTAGGATATTGTATATGTAAATCATATAAATAAGTAATGACAACTGTTAAATGTGTTGTTCATCTGAGGTTGTACTTTCTCAATTACTGAACCACTTAACTCGATGTCCTTATACATAAAACCCTAGAGCTGAAAGGTACTTCTGCTTTTTAACGAGACTCTACGGAGTTTATCAGGCCTGCAAACTGCATTAGTGTTGAACTGGCAGTTTTATATAGACCTTTATAAAGGCATATAAATATGGAAAAATTGTCTGCAAACTCCTAAGGTGAGTTGCTTTCTACTTCCTCACATCTACAGGATGCTCTACATGAGTTCGCTTTGTAAAACTGGGTTAAAGGTACAAACTGGGCGACGGATATACAAAAGTGTGAACTGCAGCTATTCCTGACTGCTGGTTCTCACCTGCGTCAGCTTAAACAGTGAGGTTTTCATTGGCCTTGGCAGGAGCGCTGAATGCCTTCTTTGTGTGTGTTTGTGTGTGAACACCTTGTGCTGATTTGGTGTGTGTGAAGCATGTCTGGCTCTCTTGGATAGAGCTCATAATCACATCGTGACTTGCAGTTGCATAGAAGATGATTGAGTGTGTTAGATGTCGGAGCTTTGAGGCAGTGAAACGTTTGGTTGACAGAATCGGCTCATCTCTGCTGCACACACTCGAGTTCTGGCTCGCTAGATGTTGCAGCTGCTCTCTGGTGGATCAAAGTCTTCGTACGGCTCGAGGTTTTCCAAAATAGGAGCCATCCTGCCAAAGATGAAAAAAAAAAATAATACAAACGTAAAGATTTCTAACAGTACCTTGAATCATATAAATTGAACTTTTATTGGGAATTTTATTTGATATATCTAAACGAAGCTAGCCTGGTAAAAAAACACTGAAGAAGACAAGAAATTAATTGTGCAATTTATTTATTTCAAGGTCAGTTTAATTAACATAATTTTTTTAATGATTTAAAAATAAATTTTTTGCTACTGTTTTTTAATTACTTATTTCATATTATTTCAGCAACCAGAACTGATTTTGGTTACATTTTGATTTTAAATGTAATGGTTATGTATCAACAGTTAGCCCACCCTACTCATAAACATCTGTGAAAAATTATTTAATTATTAAAACAATGCGATTTATGTTGGTGCTCTTATTTTGAAATGTAACCGGATGTAGCAGGCGGGAGGAGAACGGCTAACACAATCTGCCTGCCGTTAGATTATCTAAGTGCTTCTCTAACTTTGGTTCTGCCCAAAAGTTCTAAGAAAAGCCTGCCGTATCAAATGTGATACAAAAGATAACTCATAAAATAAATGATATGGCAAAAAAAAAATAAAATAAATGTAGATTTTGCTTCAAGGCTTCATGAAGATCCTAGTTCTAAAATTTTTTTTTTAATTCCAGCTCTCCAGAGGAAGCTGTGGAGACGTGGGAGCTCAGTCCTGAGGACATAGTATCGCTGTGTGGTGGAGATCGATCTCTGCACCTGCATCATGGCAGCTGATAGGATGACTCTTTACAGGGCAGTTAAAGCTGCACTGGGAACTGAAATTACCTGAAACTGAGCAGAAATTGTCTCTTAGACTTCACTGATGTAAATTCAGCATTTGAAGAGCCTCACCAGGCCGCTGCAGGACGACAACAGCCTCCTTAAGCCGGTGGGTTTCTTCTGCAGCTTTGTTAGATGTCTCATCACATAGGGTACCATATTTTGTCAAATACTGGTATTTCTAAATTAATCATAGACAATATATCCCTTTCAAAATATTTTTTATGAAGCTTATTTAAAATAGCGCTACTCTGTTTTGGTATCTTACATGGGCTGATATTGAGATCCTTTCTTTCAAATTCAGCCCAGATTTTTTCAAACAGCCGATTAGAGTTTCCCTTTAGGCGGTCATTGGACAATTATGTTTGAGACATGCTTTGTCTCATCCAGCATTTTCTGGACAAGCAATTTCAGAGCATGGTTTTTGTTGACTGATTTCCCTGCCTTCTTTTTTTTATTTGTTTTTTTGAGGACTTTCTTAAGTTTATCTTTTTCTTAAACCATGAGCAACATCCTTTGCAGATGCTGGGGAACTTGGTGGGTTCAGGTTCAGCTAAGTGGTTTTTTAAAACACTCCACAAGTTACTGGGTCATATACAGCCAAAAGAAAGATCAACTCTTTTGATTTGCAATTAACTTTTGTAGTTAGCCTGTGAAATATCTTTGAAACACTATCGTTGTTGTCTGGGGACACAGAGACAAACTGTCCTTGAAGTGCACTCCAGACTTTATCAAAATAGTATTGCTGCATGGATTCAGTAATCTCTGGAAGGCAGCATACAGTAGATTTTTTAAAAGCCAAATTAATCAAACTTTCAATTAATCCAAGTACACAGGTTTTAACTCTTTGTTTCCTCTGCAATACCTGCCTTGATAATCAAATACTGCTTTTTAAATGCATATTTCTCTTCCACCAACATTCCTCTTCTGTTGTGGAAGAGGAATGTCTAACCACATTCACCTGGTTAGACGTTTCAGAATCTGAGTCAGAGTCTGAATCCAAGCTGCTTTCCACGACTGAATAATAACTTGTTTGCCAAAAAGGTATCCAAACAGGTTCCCAAGTCTTGTCATTCGTTGTGTCACCGCCAGCACCTGGATCATCTGAATAGACTCTCCAATGCTGTTGTGAAAGTTTTTTCTCTAAAATAATTGGCAAACATTCCACTGGCACCCATTCTTCAGAAAAATCCTCTGGGTTTCATTTGTCAAAAACACTGGACTGCTCTCTAGTGTCTCTAACTCAGAAGGAGTATCAAAGAAATCCTTTTCAGTGGGAAAAGGCCAAGATCGAGATTAGAATCGAGCAGAATTGCATTGGAAGGCGATGGCTAGGCTAACACGCAGCAGTGCAACAGGTTTTATTTACAGGGACTAGATCTTTATCTAGCCGCAGTACCTGATGTCCCAGTTCTCTACGTCCTCCAGCGTGTCTGGCAGAGGTCGGTCAGCAGTTTCAGGCAGCGCCAAGGCGAGAATTGCTCCCAGAAGCGGGGAAGTGCCGAAGATGATGAGCGGCGTGACGGGGTTGTGGTTATGCAGCATGTTTATAATGGGCGCCAATACACCCCCCATCCTCGCAAACATGCTGGACACGCCTATTCCTGTTTGCCTGCAGGTACACCAAGTGAAGAAGCTGCAAGACTGCATGTCTGAGGAAGCCTTAAACTGCTTGTCAGAAAACGTAGAAGTCCTACCTTACCACAGTAGGGAAAATCTCAGCAGTGTACACATAGATGACAGCAAATGAGGCCGTAATACCAAACTTCCCAACCATAGCAAGTCCAGTCAGGACATTGGGATGATCTGCAGACAAAGAAAAATATCGACATTTTAGAGAGCAGAGTTTATATGTATTTGTAGCTGATGGATGGGATTGTTGGCTGGATGGACCGATGGATGAGATTAGTGATTGGTTGGACAAACAGGATTGTTGGTTGGTTGGTTAGATCAACCATTGTTTGGTTGATTGGACAGGTGGACGGACGGATGTATGGAAAGACTAATGATAGATGGTTGGTTGGACAAATGGATTGAAAGGTGAATGAATTAGTTAGAGAGATGAATGAATAAAATTGCTTTGTTGGACAGATAGTCAGACTGACTTGCTAGTTGGATGGACAAATTAATTTGTGGGATGGATGGATTCATCTTTCCACGTTCTTTCTTTTTTTTTTTTTACATATTTATCTATATTTGGAAGATAATTAAGTCAAACTCCAAACTTTTCCAGACTACGTAGGAACCCCTTAAGAGTTAGTTGCAAGATCTTGCAAAGCGCATTAAGAGATTCCCTGAAACTGCAATCAATCCCTGGTCTCCATCTTCCATACCTGCAGGGACGGCAAGCATCAACAAGCAGGCAAGACCACCAATCGCCAGGAAGCCACTCTGGGAGAGGCGTCGGCTGAAGGGCAGGACGACCAGGACCAGGGAGCGAGCTGGGATCTCAACCAATCCAAACACAAACTGGGTCAGGTAGAGGTCCGTCCCCAACCGAGACACACCCAGAGACAGCCCATAGTACACTAGGACGTTCACAAACCTGTGATTGCAAACACAGAGGAATCAAGAAAGATCTAGAAATAACGTTGAGGAATGCTAGAAAAGGCCGACAGAACATACCAGATGTAGAACAAAATGATGGTTCTCTTTCTCATCTGTGGTGTCCGGATTAGATCCATAGCTGAGTGACTTCGCTTTGAGCCGCCTAAAAACTCCCACTTTTCAGCCTGATGTGTAAATGAACACGACACACAAGCAAATAAAAACTTGTTGGTACAAAATCACTTCAGCACATAAGTTTTACCATATGAATTTTACACAAACAAGCAGGAGTAGTCTGCAGCTGGAAGCAAAGCAAAGCACTCAATACAAATGGATGAAGATCCTCTGCAGTCGAGGAAATGCAACGTTCTACAATCACTAAGTAAATTATCTAACCTTAATGCAACTCTGAGTGTTTTACACTTAATGAACGTTGAACATAAAAGACCCACAAACGAACAACATGTTAAGTCCTCAGTACTAAAAGGCCAGTCCAAACATCATCAGAGAAGAAATATAGTATCTGGTGTTGTCCAAGCCTTTCAGACTTGGACTGGTCAGTTTACATCCAATTTCTGTAAAAAAAAGTTTTTAAAAATGCATTTTCTTCGGTTGACCTTGAGTCTGTGGATGGATGGATTTGTTGGACAGGTGGACTGAGTAATGGATGGTATTTTGGAGGGATGGACTGGAGGGCAGAGCAGCAGCAGCTGGATTAGTTGAACACACAGATGAAACTGTGAATTATGGGAAATTCCCCTACATTTTGGACTGGCATCCTTTTACTTTACACTATCTGGCTGGATGGAAGGATGGACTGGTTGGTTGTATGTGTAGATGGATGACCCGATGAATGGTCAAACGGTTGGACTGGTCAATTGAACCAACAGACTGATACATTTATGGACAGATGGACGGACGAATGAGACGAACGCACACCTGGACAGCGGGAGGTAAGACCCGGCCGTTAACTAGCGCCGCTTTGCGGAGGAGTGCGATGGCTTCCTCTCTCCTGTCGTTGGCCAGTAGCCACCGGGCAGACTGGGGCAGAACCCTGATGGAGGACACAGCAGATATTAGAGGAGGGGAGGAACTCATCGTCACACAGAGGCCATTCATTGTATAGCATGAACACGCATAAATCCAATTTTCCGGTTGAACCTCCCACCGTATGTAGAAGATCAGCAGGAAGCCTGGGGCTGATATAGCGAGCTGCAGCTTTCTCCAGTCTCGTATCAGGTAGGCCACCCCTGCAAGCAGCATGTATCCCAGGCCGAAGGTGTAGTCCGTGATGATGCCCGCCAGCATGCGTCTCTTGGTACACGTCCACTCAGTACCTGGCGTAGGGAGATTGAGGAGGTTTTGGGAGAGAAGAGGACAAGAGAGGAAAGGAGGAACCACGGGTAAGGGGATTGACTGAGGCTTGGAGTTGTGAGGTGAAGGATAAAGTGTCAAGGGTTACAAAGAAAACAATTTATATTTTCTAATAAAAAAAAACAACATGCAAGTGGAAGTTGAAATCAATAAAACCTAAATATTAGTTTTCTGTAATGCATCAAGCAGAAAAACCTGAGTTCATATTTAATTGCTGTAGGAGAGAAAAAAAAATAGTAAGAAAAAATATTTTGTCACGAAGGAAATATGGTTCCCCATTGAACCTTGTTTGTTCTAACTCCAGTTTTTAACTCTATAGCTCAAACTCTAACTGTAGATTTGGGCAAGTTTAGACAAGCAGCTGTTTTCTGGTACAGACTAATGTAACACACATCCACCTTAAGAGAATAGAAATATTGGCAATGTCACATCTATGGCAGGGAAATAGAAGGTCGGAGGTTATAACTTAAATGTTCATAGTTCACCTTGTCTTGTTCGTCTTTGAGTGTGATCGTTTAGTTCATACCAAGAACAAAAGCGTTGATAATGACTCCAGATATCGTGGTCCCAACTGCGAAGCGTAGAATCACGTAGACTGGGAAGTTGGGCGCAAAAGCCACAGCGACTCCAAACACAGTCTGCAGCGCGATGGACAGCAGCAGGACCAAACGTCGGCCGTACCTTTCACAAAGAGAGCACTCTAAGATAGTGACGGTCTTTCACATAAAACCTCAAGATAACTGAAGGTGTAGTTTTTAGGGTTCATGTTAAATTTTCAGCCCTCATAATTTAAATGTTGAACCAGAGACATCTTCCAAAATAAGGCAGCCTAACCAAAACATGTCTTTATGAAAGATAGCCTACAACACATTCTTGGTTGCAGATGTTCAGCACGTGAATGTCTTCTGGTAATGCGCCTTCCACTGTGTCATAATATTTAAATTTCCAAAGGTTTTTTCTATTGCTTCATATTGATACTGTAAGTGACTTGTAAAGTGGCTTCTAATTTGATATTTGGGATTTACCTCCTGAAGTTTTCTGAGTTGCCTTCCTCATAATCTATTCACCTTTTCTCCATGTTTGCAATTATCTTGTTTAAAGCATAAAAGTTTTTCTCATTTCATTTTTTGATTACTTGTATTTCAGTGCGAAACTGGCCATTACGGGCAGCTTGGTATCTTATCATTCTCTGTGGCCTGACCTCCTGGCCCCTAATCTTGACAGCTTGCTCCATTAAATCTTCTTTATTATTACAGGATTTTCATTCCACATCAGCATTTTCATTCTTGACTCACAAAATGGTCACTGTGGTTTCTTGCTGTGGTTGTTTTGTTATTTTTCCTTTGCACTTAATGAACAACCCAAGGTTTACGAACAAGCAGCAAGCTTCCATCCTAAAGGTAAAGCTTTACGGCAGGGATTAGCTAAACTATAGCTGGGATTGGTTCAGACATTGTTCTATGCAGAACATCTTCATTCTCACGTTGCTCAGTTTTTTTCACAAAAGTATTTTTATTAAATATGTTATAAATTTACAATTCATAAACCCAACACAACGTTAAGTATTACGTTAGCATACTAAATATTTAGCACCAAAACAAATATTTAGTAAGCAAACTAAACATTTAGTTTGAAGCAAAGTGTTTAATTGGCTAGAAAACTAACTAATTAATAAGTAAGTTTGTAAACAGCTAGCTAGCTCAGACCTAACCGAATATTTTGCTAGCCCAGAGCTAAATATTTTTGTTTGTGGCTAAATAGTTAGCTTGCTCACTAAATATTTATGAGGCAAAATATTTGGCTTGTTAGCTAAATGACAACCTAAATATGTTATTTCAGCACATCTCACTAATTATTAGCTAATGATGTTTAGCTTGTTAGCTAAATATTTAGTTTGGTAGCTAAATATTTAGCATGTCCTATATTATTTAATTTAGCTCAATAATTAGCTAAACTTGTTACTTAACTTACTAAGTATTTAGCTGCACAGCTAAACATTTTGTTTAGAGCCAGATAAAAAGCTGAAGTCTCAGTGCTGCTGTCTGTAGCTGCCTAATGTCAATGCAAAACAGGATTCCCTGTAAGAGCTGAACTTTTAAGTTGCATTCAGGGACAATTAGTACACCGGATTGTATATATATCAAAACAACTCCAAAGTGACATAAGCATTTTTTAAAAATCCTCAACTATCAAGGCTGATTGATTAATAATATCAGTCATTTTCAGGTGGTTCCATTGTATCATTTATCCAGGATTTGGCTTTATCAGATTGGTTTTAATTCCCTGAAAATAATTAAACTAGAGCTCTGACAGTTCTATACTAGCAACTCTTTCTAGGTCTAAGACCTAATAAATCAAAGAAACAACACTGCTGAATAAAGTAAATATATATATATATATATATTTTTGTTTGTTTCTCTTGATCGAGGCGTGCTGAACTGTGCCTTTAAATCCGAGGCACCTGCTTTTACACTCTCCTGAATTATGTTTTGTTTTTGTTGGAGAAGGACACTACCATTTCTGAGAATATGTCATACGTCTGAAACAAATTCCACCTCACAGCAGAGGAGTTTGAGTCAAACCTCTTTGTGTATTTTTAACTCTTGAACTAACTCGCCGCGGTTTGTCAGCTGCCCTACTTACACAAAACAACCACATGCCAGCAGGACTCCTCCAGCGGCGCCCGCCCCTTTAACCACGCTTTGATGCCAAAGATCAGCCTGGATCGGCCGAGTCTGGCGTCTCGTCTCAGAGTCTGAGATTTGAGCCTTACCTGTCAGCCATGGCTCCGAACAGCACAGACCCCACCAACAGGCCGAACATGTAGATGGACGATCCGAGGCTGTTCAGTCCAGCTTTGCTGCACACTAGGTCCCACTGGCAGGAGAAGAAAGGAAATAGTTAAAAGTTGTTACTGAATCCTATTTGTTCTGTCATTTACAGATGGGTTTCTCCAGGTGGGATGCAGGTTTTACTTGTTTGACATTTTCACCTCGTACCATATACTAGCTTCATACTGAAGTCAAGGTGCTAAAACAAATGTTTGGTTTTTATTTTTAATCAAGCCTCTTTCTTTTTAACGTATTGAGCTTTTCTGCATCCATGATTTTTCAAATTTTACGCAGAAAGACGAGACACGCATAAACAGATTAAAAAGCATCTGAAAGGAGATAGAAGATGTCGCACAAGGAATGTAAAATGTAAATGTGTCAACAGTTAGAGCCAAAAGCATATACTGTGTAGAAAACACCAGTTAGGTGTTTAAAAAAACAAAAAAACAAGCAGGAGAGCCAAAACAACCACAATGTGCTAAATGTTACCAACTATTTGTAGCAGACCCGTATGGAAGCAAAAAAAACCAACAACCACAAATCATATCTGTGTGGTTTGTGGTTGTTTGGTCTCTGTCAGAAAGTCTGCTGCACGATGTGTGTAAGTGTGTGCGTCAGAATCACACACAATAGTGTTTTTTTCTCCTCCTATATACTTGCTCATATTATGGTTCACTCTTTAATTAGATCTATAATAAATGCTTTGCAGTGGCGGTTTTCGGTGCGGCTCACAGCCCAGACGGCTGCTCCATTAGCACGTCTATCAGCTGCTTTAGGAACAAGATTCCTATTCGTTATTTGCAAACCCGTTCCATAGGGAGTTGATAATCCCTCTGGAGGTGAACGATACAAAGACTTATTCACAAGCCTCAGGTCGCTCAACAACGTCTGCACAACATAAATGTCATCATCTGCTGGTACGCTCCGGAGTTTAACACAACTGGAGACAAACAATGGAACTGAGCCGCGACACTAATTGGGTGCGTTTATGTTTGTGTTATTCAAAATGTTTACTATTACTAAAAAAAAGAACTAGTTTCAGCTAACAAATAAATGTTGTAGGATATTTCGGCCCCCTTGAAATCCTTTTTAATATTTTCCAAACTTCACTTTTTCCATTCTAATTTTTCTGAATTCCTCTTTTTTCCATTTTATCCATTCTGATAAACCCCAAAAGTATGAAGTATGAGGTGAGAATAAAAAAAAATTACAAATCAATATCTAAAGGCCAACATTTACTGTTATTCTGTTTCACAAATATAACAGACCGTTGTGGTTCAACAGAGCATTTGTTTTATAAGGTGTTAAAATGTGTTATTCCCTTCTAACAGCTAGCCTTCCCTTCCCGCCAGTATCAGTTAATTCTGTGAAACTCCGTGGTTTATAGTGGGTTCCATTTTGTTTGCTAAATACCGAGATCACAGCCGCCGTTTTCGCATCGTGGAACTCATGAGACCCTAAAAGTGGAAATGGACTCATACCAACACAAACTCTTTTGGGACCAATTTATGTTGACTAAACAACTCATATCCGCTGTCACCGGTGGCCATGCTAACTAGCCTGAGCATCAGGAAGAAGCTGTGGAGTAGCAACTAGAGAGCAAGATGAGAGGGGAAGAGGCGGTGTATACAACCATGAATGACAGTGCTAGGACCCTCCTCCTGGCTCTGATTGGTTGTTGCTAGCTAGCAGAAGCACTTGATTTTTTTCATAGTTTATCTGTCTTATACAATACTGTCACAACATTATGGCAGTTTCAATAAATAAGCTATGTACATTTTTTATTTTATTTATTTATTACAAAAGTTTTGGACTTAGCTGCTGCAGAAGGTTTGTGTTGATGGGCCCCTCTGGGATCATCCAGGACACCAGTCACGCAGGAACCGCCACTGCTTATTAGGCAGTGTGGTCTATTTTATTACAAATATATTTTTAAACAAAACTTATGAATTTATTCTTGAGCTGAGCTCTTATTTCGACATCCCATCATCCTCCGGTACCTCGGTGACAGTGGTGCTGTGGAAAACCTCCGTGCTGTAGACCCAGCCGTGGCCGCACGGGACGCGCTCCGTCCGGTTGCCCTGCAGCCGCAGCATCACCTCCGAGGAGAAGCAGGAGGAGTCCGAGAGGCTGACGTTCTCTGCGGGGAGCGAAGTCTGATTCCCCGCTCCTGAGCTGGAGCTTTCCCGGCAGCGGTAGGGCGGCGTGGCCCCGGTGAAGATGCTCACCATCATGTGGAAGGCGAGAAGGATCTGAGGCAAACAAATCCAGATGTACAAGATCTTCTGATATTTGCCAAAGCCGCCGATGGCAGCGAGGATCTGGTCGAAATTCATAGGGTAATTTATGGGGATCTACAGGTCAACGTGAAAGAGTGGCTCCTCTGCAGCACCAGGCAGTGAATCAGACCAGGACGTAAACAAGGCGTATCTTCTCCTCCATGTGCAGCAGAAGAAAAAAAACAAAAACAACAACAAACAACTATCTGAATCAGTTCCAGTCAGATCATCTTCCCCCCCTCCACGCCTCCACCAGCGAGGCGCTTGCGCTTTCCAAACGCCGAGTTCTCCTGATCCACGCGTGAAAACCAAACACCTTTCATCAAAGTTTTTTTTTATCTCTCTTTCCGCATCACATAATGGAAGGAGGAGGTGCGGGAAACCGGATGCAATTAACGGTCCACAATGATTGGCGCTGTTGTTTTAAGAAGTGAGAGAAGACTGGCATCCCTCAGAAGCCTCCCAGACGCGCCTGTGTGCTTTTGGTTTCCCACTCGATGCGGAATTTGGGGAGAAAAACGCGCATGAATAGCAGCGGAGGTGACGTGACGTATGCGCTGCTTACTGTACAGGGCAGTTCCATGTATGCAAAACACGCTCCATATGTGTGGATTTTAAAGGCACGTTTATTACATAATATTCAATATGTTGGTTTTCTGAATTATGATGCACAGGACGCATCTTAATTCATAATTTAATGGCGCAACTACCGTTTTGTAAGCATCTTATTTGCATATATTGGTCGTGGAGCACGTGCCTTCGGCTCACACCAGCTCTCTGCTGCCATCTACTGTCTGATCAGGTGGTGGAAGATTTAACATAAATTTGGTGTGTTTTTGTTAAATGTATGGAGGGTCGAAACTGACATAATTAAAAACAAGAGGAAAAATATAAAAAGAACAATTGTGAACATTTTATATCAATTAATTTTTTTAAAAATAAATCTTTTAGATGAATTTAAAAATTATTTTTATTAATTAAGAAATTAATAAAAAAATAAAAAGACAAATACATCTATAAGTAAAAAAGAACATTTAAAAATGCTTTTAAAAACAGCAAAATTTAACTTGTGTGCTTAAATGTATAATTTGTTGAAACTAAACTGAAAAGATCAATGTGAAGTTCAAAACAGCATGTAATTAATCGACAATGACTGTTATAAGCATTTCATGTTATGATACTTCGTAAATACATGTTCATGTAAATAAAAATGCTATGATCTGTCTGAAGAGGGAAACGGATTAGGTGAATCAGTGATGCAGAATGTGAAATGGCTGCTTTAGAAGGCCTGAGTTACCTGATACACACCGAAGCACATTGACTGATTACTGTTTTGGATCACTGAATCCAGAAAAACAAGAACGTGAATTCTGAATAACATTTTAAGTCACAGCACTAAAAGTAGGTAAAAGTAGACAGCAACCCAGCTAAGTATTTCCAAAAGCAAAAGAGAGGAAAGAGACACAAAAATCAGAACAGAAACTCCAACCTCACTAGAAAACTTTTAAGAACAATCTAAATATTTTGAACTATTCATTTGAAACAGTTTTTTTCTTCCTGAATGGAGCAACTTGTGTAAATGGCTGCACAAGTTAGAAATTGTTCAGAATTTTTTCAAGTGATACCATCAGTTGAACCAGATATTTACATACCCTGCATTAAAAAGACACACACACACACCTTTCTTTTTCTCACTCTCCGAAGTTAAATCAGACCAAACTTCTCTTGTTTTATGTTAGAATTGCAAAAATGATTACTATTTGGTAAAATGCCAGAAAACTTATAGCGAGAACATTTGTTTGTGTGTGTGTGTGTGTGTGTGTGTGTGTGTGTGTGTGTGTGTGTGTGTGTGTGTGTGTTTTTCTTTGAATTCATAAATTCATAGAAAAGGTTTGTGGTCAGCTGGTACAAAGAAAGATAGAGTTAGACTAGATCTGAGAACATGAACCACTGTAGAACATGGTGGCAGCAGCATCATGCTTTGTGGCTGTTTTGATGTTGATGTTACTTGTGGATTACGCAAATCGGATGAACTAATTAAAAAAAGAGGAGTTTTTCGAGCAATTTCAAAGAGAAACATATCAGAAATTACCTCAAATTAATTCACAGATAATATACAAACAATGTTTTGTCTTTAAAAATAATAATCTCCCTAACGTTATCGTCTATTTATTTTTGAACAGTGCACCTCACCAGCTGCGGTTGCGTTTGTTGCATGTGTTTTCGTGCGCGGAGCTTTTATTTTGAAAGCGGAGCCCAGAAGTCGTCCTGTTTCTGCCTCTGACGCTGTGACTGGATGTAACACAAGCTTCAGAGGAGAAGCGCTGGAAAGGACGGACAGGTGGAGGGGGGCGCGATGGATGGATGAGAGGCCGAAGGAGTGCACCGGGTCCGGGAATCGTTTGAAAACCAGTCGGAGTTCTAACTGATCCTCCGGAGCTGCCAGCGCTGCAGAGAGAGAGACAGAGTCCCAGATCTCCCATCGCTCCGCCCGGCCTGCCTGCCTCTGTTCCTGCCCATCCCTGGAATATTACCCCAGCATCATCATCATAACCCCCCCCCTGCCCGCCTGGCTGCCTGTAGTTTCCCCTCTTGGATGTTTCACTGAGGCGGGACACCCGGATCTTTTCATCGTGAAAGTAAGTAGAGAGCAGCTCACGTTATTGCCAATGTCATCCAGCATAAGGTCAGCTGATCACGTTCCGCCGTGTTAGAGAGGGAACACATGATTTCGAACAACGAGGATTTTCATCCATGACGCGACCTACTGATGGAGATGAAGCCACGCCCCTCGGACAGTATTCAAATAACATTGTTTCTATGGTTTCTGGCACATGCATCTGTGAACCCTGACCTATTTGCTCGTACTAACCACACCAACTGCAGAGGCAGCTTTAACGGCATGATTCTTAATTTAGGTTATTTTGATAATAAATCCTGGTCTGGGTTGTTTTAACACAACAGGGTTTGAGAAATGCCCATGTCAGCAAGCTAGCAGAGCCCATCCTAAACACAAAATGGTTTGGGGGTCTGCAATCACAACAGCTCAGCCAACATTAGCTTCGTGGCATCCACACTCAAATATTTATGCATCATACATCTTACATCATCGTTGTTGTAGCTTATAACAAAAAAAAAAAAGTCACATCAGCTTGTTGCAATAAATGTCTTCACTGTTTGAAATGTTATGTTCCTTATGCTGGTTTGTTTTTAAGAAGGTTGAGTAAAGTCTAATCAGGTCAATATTGTCTCTTCTCTAACCAAAATAAGCAGAATGTTTGCCCTAAGCAACGTAAACCCAGCTGTTTTTTGTGTGTAGCCACTTTTTCACCAAGACAATATGATGAATATCCCAAATGAATTAAACTAAACATTGTAATGTTAGTTTTAATGAGGGGCTTCATGTCGCCTTGACTTGTAAAACATCTGGGTTTTCGGTTTATACCACAGGTTGAACTGGAGGGCTCATGTCATTGTTTGTGTTTTGCATTTGATTAGCAAGCATTGCTTTCGGGACTCAGTTTTGTACTTGCACGGTGTAGGCTTATTCCGCCCCCCACCCTCCCAACAAATTTCAACAAATATCGAAATGTAATTTTGAAAACACTTAACAGAGATGTTAAGTCGAGTCTACGGAGTGCTGCATGGGGAAAGCTGTACCTAAAACAGAGCTAATCTGTCTGTTGTGGAAGCATTACAAAACACATGAACTCAACCTTTGTTTCAATTATTCTACTGCACAAAAAAACCCACCCACGCTCAACTAGGTACGCCAAAACACACACACACACGCGCGCACACGTAAACAGATGCTTAAATTAGCCTCTGGTGTTGAAGCTTGCTCGCTCGATATTTGATCTGTCACAGCAGTGATGTCACAATTTCAGCCCGCAGTGTGTTCACTTCTGCAGCCACATGGTGATTCCTGCAGAACTCAGTCGGAGCTGCAAGGTCACAGAAACTGATATCACTGTGGATGTGTGAGGTGTTCTGGGGTGACTGCAAGGTCAGAGGTAGCGTCATTGCTATTTAAAATCCTTTAAATGTATCCTAGACTAATTTTCTGCAGTTGCACAGATTTAGTACACTAAAGAACCTTGCAGCTTACCTCATCCAATAATTGGCACATTTAGAGACTCAAATTTTTGACCAGTTCTTTGTAAACTAACTCGAGCTCAGTCGGATCGGACGGAGCATATTAGCGGAAATCAATTTTCATGTTCTGCCACAGATTCTCCATTGGATTTAGGTCATGATCATCCTTTTATCTAAACCACTGCATTGCATGTCTGGTCAGATATCTAGCGTCGTTACCTTTCGGTTGCTTCTCCCCACAGTATGATGCATCTACCACCATGTTTCACCAAAGAAATGGTGTACAGAGGTTGCCATGCAGTTTTAGTTTTCCAGTTTTCCGCCACAAGAGTTTTGCTTGTAGGCCAAAAAAATTCAGTTTTTCAGAACAGAGTGTAAGCTCATATTGACACAGCATGTCTTGAAGCTCAATTCCAATATTTTTGCTGAAATCAAACTTTTTTGTGAACAAGAGTTGTTTATGCATCAAATTCAAATCGTCACGAGATCAATCAATCAATCAATCAAATTTTTATTTGTATAGCACAATTCAACAGCAAGGCATTTCAAAGTGCTTTATATAATTAAAATAAAAACAGCATGTGACATTGGATAAACAGTGAGAAAGAGAAAGAGATTATAACATCACGGAAGGAAGCTAATAAAAAGAAAGCACAACTAATAGCAGCAGCTATTGTGGAGCATCGACTTGTCTGTCTGGGTGTGTGGTCAGAGCTAAGAGCGGTGGGATTGTGATGCGACGTGCTTCAGTGACACAGACGTCTTTCATGAGTTCATAATTGTAATTTTCAGCCATCGTTTACATCCTGATCTGGCACATCTAGCATTTTTGGTGCAGAATTATGATGCATATGTCCCACATCAATGACATAAAAGTCAGTTAAAATGCAACATGATCGTTAAGAAAGCAAACAGTTTCAAAACAATCAGTTAAGAATCCAAATTAGTACCACATATCGAAGTGGCACAGATCGAACTTTTTTGGGAGAGTTTGGAATTGGGCCGTTCAGACTGAGGGGAAAAGGTCGGATACAGATCACAGTAAGCAGATCTGGGTTGCATTTTCCTGCTGTGTTAAAGTAGCCTGAGTGTCACTTGCAAGGCATGTAAACAGCATATCTAATCTTTGTGTTCTATTACATAAATAGATTAACAAAGTATTTTTGAATATATCCCAACCGTTAAAAACCGATGTCTGCAAAGAGCTATTGATGCATCCCGCTGGCAGGAGGTCTACTGCTGATTCAGCAGACTTCTTTAAATTAAGGACTCCGTCAAGTGAAAACAAGGATGAGTGTGGACTTTTGACTTACATTAACTAACTGTCTTAATGTCTCTGCTTGTGGTCGTCCCTGGCAGAAATCTCCCCCTCTCGCCACCCTTGTCTCCGGCCTCTGTGGTGGAGCAGCTGACCCCCGTGGGGCTCCGGCTCCAGTGGCCCATGGCCCCTGCTCCTCCACAGCTCTGAGCCAAGCTGGCCTCCCCAGCAGCCGCGTCGCTGACCCCGGCCCCAGACCTGGATCCCGATCCAGACCCGGAGCCCGACGAGCGTCTCGCTCACGAAGAGCAGTATGTGAGCGTGGGCGAGTGCAGCCCGCTTGACGCCGGCCCCGCGCCTCCTTCCTGCAGGGACGCTGAAACCATCACAGGTGAATTTAGTGACGCCTCAGCCATGAGGCTGACACAAGGTGAAAAGGGGCTGTTTCAAGATTATTGTGTCAGCGCCAGAAGTGTCCCGATACAACCTTTTCACTTTCAATATGATACCAATATTGTGTATTGGCCGATACA